TTTGGATGCCATTAAAAGATATAGAGAGCGGATGGCTTAAAAACTTGGTAGCCACATTTGCAAGGGACGGAGGTGATAAATGGTCCCTCCAAGCTGTGGAGTCTTGTGAGCAAAAATCCTGCTTTGTGAGTTACTGGCCTTAAAGTTGTGAGCGAGCGCTTGGGCTGCTGCATCAGTTAGTTTGCTCTGGAGCCCTCCTTCCTGAGCTCAGGCAAAAATGTGTGAGACGGAGGTTAGAAAACTGAGCTAACTCACACTAGGAGCTGCGGTGGCTCAAGTGGTTAAGACGCTGAACTGCAGGCTGTGGAAGGTCGGTAGTTCAGCAGTTCGAGACCCGGGTGCCGCATGACGGAGTGAGCTCCCGTCTCCAGTTCCAGCTCCTGCCAACCTAGCAGTTCGAAAGCAAGAAACTGGAAGTAGATAAATAGGTACCACTTCGGTGGGAAGGTAACAGCGTTCCGTGCGCCTTGGTGTTTAGTCATGCCGGCCACATGACCACGGAAACGTCTTCGGCTTGGAAACGGAGATGAGCACCGCAACCCTAGAGTCGGATTCGACTGGCTTTCGAGCAAGGGAACCTTTACCTTTTACAGGAGATATTGGAGTAGTACAAAAGCTCTCTGTTTCACAAAGTGCGTGACAACAAGTCATAAGGAATACTACATTCAGATAGGACGCTGATCTCAGTCAATGTTCAGGCTCAAATATGGTGCTAAGCTTCTAATGGATCCCAGGTGTCTCCTGAGGAAAATACAATTTTGAAATGTCGTTATATAATCCGGAGACGACGTTGATTATGTACCGATGCACAAGGATTTTCTTATGACGGCTTGATTTGTGGGTCCGACTCTCACGACAGTTGCTCTTATACTTATTTTCTCCAGAAAGGTAACCGGTGAAGCATTTCCCTGGCATAGCTATAAAGCGAGAAAGCTCCACCCGCCTAGTTGCTGCCCATTTGGATTCCATTAAAAGATATAGAGCACGGATGGCTTAAAAACTTGGTAGCCACATTTGCAAGGGACGGAGGTGATAAATGGTCCCTCCAAGCTGTGGAGTCTTGTGAGCAAAAATCCTGCTTTGTGAGTTACTGGCCTTAAAGTTGTGAGCGAGCGCTTGGGCTGCTGCATCAGTTAGTTTGCTCTGGAGCCCTCCTTCCTGAGCAAAGACAACAATGGGTGAGCCGGAGGCTAAAAAACTGTGAGCTAGCTCACACTAACTCAGCTTAGAGGGAACACGGGTGATAAATAATAAGGAAGGTCTTTTTTTAATCGGGGGGGGGGTTTGTCCCTCCTCCCTGCTCTGGAAAGGAGGTATTGGAACATGTGGGGAGTGACGGTGAAAAGACAGTCAGAGGACAGACAGTGGTTCAGGAGGCCCCAGGTTCGAATCTTACCTACGGAGCTGTTGAGTGGCAGTAAGGAAGCAAGCCGCCGCCTCTCAGTTGCTGTCCCCTTCTGCTGTATTGGGGTGTGTGTGATGATCCTACCCTTCAAGGCCGTCGTGAGGATTACGAGACAATGTGTGCATGGTCCGCATTTAACAGCAGGCGTATCGAGTGGTTGTTATGTGTGTTACACCTGAATATACCCATTTCCTTTTTTTAATTATTTATTTATAGGTTTTCCATTACAAAAAAGAAAATCTCATATTGTACATAATGTTCATTTTTTTGAGTATATATTATACATTTTTTTCAATTCATTTATTAACTTTGTACCACCTTTTCTGAAAAGCATTGTCGTCTTTCCCTGTCAACATCATATTTAATTTGTCCATTTCCGCTATTTCCAGAATTTTCTTGATTATCTCTTCAATACTAGGTATTGTATCAGTTTTCCAGTTTTTTGCAACGAGGATTCTAGATGCCGCGAGAATATTTAGTATAATACATAGATCATCGCGTTTAATTCCATCTGATGTTATATTAAGCAGGAAAGTTTCTGGTGTAAATTGTAATTCTATTTCAGTTGTTTCTGTTATTAATTTTTTTCACTTGTTCCCAACATTTACATATCCTTTCTGAATATACCCATTTCCCAGGTGCTGGTGTACAGTTATGAATGTCTCTGTGTACAAACTGGCCTTCCCTCCCCAAGTGGTTCCAATGACGCCATTTCCGATTAAACGTGCAGGTGAGTTTTCTGCCCAGACATTGTTGTTGCCAGCTTCCAGGCAGGGCCTGGAGATCTTTTGGGATTCTAACTGATTTCCAGACTATACGGATCAGTTCCTGTTGGGATTTCAAGTTGCTTACACTTCAGCCATTAAAGAGTTAAATGTTGTTTGTTAGGAAACAGGATGTTACCTTACGTAATGTATCCAACAGCGGGAAAGTTTGTGGGAGTTGTTTACCCTAATGAAGGGACCTGTAACCTTTGTATTGGTCAACTAACATCTTGTTTGTGGAAATGCTTTGATCTAGATTTAATGTATTCACAAGTTT